TCTTGTTTTTACATCTGTTGATGTGTTTAATGACATTTATAGTCGTGCGAATGTAGAACCAACCCTGCATCCAGCCAATGAAGGCTACTTGGTCATGGTGGATGATTTTTGAGATGTGCTTTTGGATCCAATTTGCTAGAATCTTGTTGAGTATTTTTGCATATGTTCATAAGGAATATTGTCCTGTAGTTCTCTTTTTTTGTTGGATCTTTACCTGGTTTGGGTATCAGTGTGATGTTAGCTTCGTAAAATAATTTGGGGAGAATTTTATCTTTCTCAATTGCCTGGAATACCTTCAATAGGCTTGGTATCAGCTCCTCCTTGTATGTTTTGTAGAATTCTGCTGGAAAGCCGTCTATTTCAGGACTTTTTTTTTGTAGGTAATTTTCATATGACAGAGTCAATTTCCTGGGTTGTTAATGGTCTGTTTAGTGTCTCAATGTCTTTTTGTTTCAACCTGGGAGGTTGTATGATGTCAGAGTCCTCCATTTCATTTAGGTTTCAAGTTTGTTTCCATATAGGTGTACATAGTAATCTCTGATAATCTTTTGTATTTCTTCAGGATCAGTTATGATTTGACCTTTTGTATTTCTGATTGTGTTTATTTGAACTTCTTTCTTTTTCTTGGTCACTCTGGCTAGGGGTCCATCAATCTTGTTACTTCTTTCAAAGAACCAGCTTTTTGTTTTGTTGATGTTTTCTATGATATTTTTGTCTTCTATGTCCCATATTTGGGCTCTTATTTTGGTGATTTGGATTCTTCTGCTAAAGTTGGGGCTTTGGTGGTCTTCTCTTTCCAGCTCCCTTAAGTGATTTTTAGGCTCTCAACTTGTGATCATTCTATTTTCTTGATGTGTGCTCATAGAGATATAAATTCCCCTGTTAGAACTGATTTCATGGCATCCCAGAGGTTTTGGTATGATATTTCTTCATTTTCATTTATTTCCAGGAATCTTTTAATTTCTGCTTTGATTTCAGTGTTGACTCAGTAGTTGTTCAGCATCATGACGTTCAGTGTCCATGTCTTTGTGGGCTTTGGGGAAATTTTGTTGGTGTTGATATTTATTTTTATTCCATTGTGGTCTGAGAAGGTTTAGGGCAATATTTCAACCTTTGGAATTTGTTTATGTAATCAATCTTGGAGTGCATTCCATGTGGTGATGAGTAGAATGTATATCTGTGTTTGTTGGGTGGAATAATCTGTAAATATCTGTTAAGTCCATTTGGCAGAGTGTCAAGTTTAGGTTCTGGATCTCCTTGTTGATTTTTTGCCTTGATGATCTGTCTAGGGCTGTTAGTGGGGTATTCAAATTCCTTGCTATAATAGTGTTAGAGTCAATATCTTGTTTTAGTTTACTTAGTAGTTACTTTGTAAATGCTGATGCTCCTGTGTTGGGTGCATATATGTTTAGAATAGATATTTCTTATTGATGAATTGAACCTTTTATCATTATGCAGTGTCCTTTTGTATCTTTTTAAATTTTTGATAGCTTAAAGGTTATTTTGTCTGATACTAAGATCATGACTCCTGCCTTCCTTTGTGATTCATTTGCCAGGAAACTTGTTTTCCATCTTTTAACTTTGAGTCTATGTGCATCTCTTGTGGTGAGATGAGTTTCCTGGATGCAACAAATAATTGGATTATGGTATCTTATCCCGTTTGACATTCTTTGTCTTTTCAGTGATGCATTTAGGCTGATTACTGAAATGTGGTTGCTTATCCCTTTCATGAGGTTCATAGTTTTTTCTTTGTTTGCTTGTTTTCTTTTGGCTTTGGGGTTGATGTATGTGCATTTTCAAGTTCCTTCTTGCACTGTATTCTCTGTTGATTCTGTGTTCTGCTGCTCTCTTGGGAAGTGTATGGTCATTTTTTTTCCTTTCTTCTGTGCTTAATACCTTTTTAAGTGTCTCCTATGAGCTGGTCTGTAAGCTGCATAATCTTTTAGGGATTGGATGTCTGGGAAGGATTTTAATTCTCCATCACTGATGAAGCTGAGCTTGGTTGGGTAGGAAATTCTTGGTTGAAATTGTTTATCTTTGAGGACTTTGAATATTGTGCTCCAATTCTTTCTTGCTTATAGTGTTTCTGCCAATGGATCTGCTGCTATTCTGATTGGTTTTCTCTTGTAGGTAGTCTGACCTTTCTCTCTTGCTGTCTTTAGGATTTTTTCTTGTGTGCCTACTTTGTGTAGGCAAATTATTATGTGTCTAGGTGTTGGTCTTCTCATTTGATGTCTTGTGAGGGTTCTCTGTATCTCTTGTGCTTGACTGGACACATTTCAGGTGAGATGGGGAATGTTTTCTTGGATTACCACCTGGAATACTTGCTCCAAGTTGTACTCCATTTCCCTTTCTTCTTCTGGGATACAAATTAGGCATAGGTTCGGCTTTTTGATATAATCACACATCTCTTGTAGGCTTTGTTCTTTCTTTGTGTGTCTTCTTTCTATGTTTTGTTTTTGTTTTTTACAGATCAGGTTAATTTCATGTTCTGGTCTTCAAGTTCGGAGATTCTTTTTTTCAGCTAGAGTAATTTTGCTTTCCATGCTTGTCATCTTGTTATTTATTTCCTGGATGAAATTTTTTTATCACCAAAGTCTCTGTTACAAGTTCTTTCAGTGTTGCATCTTGTCGTTCTTGAGTCTTATTCACTCTTTCCATCCATTCCCTAATTCTTGTGGTATTCTGGGGCCAGTCATTGATGACTTTTATTGTTTGGGCTCCAATGTTTGATTTTTTTCAGGAGTTTTCTCTTTGTTGCACTTGAAATTGCCTGTGGTCTTCCATTGGTTTTTCCTCATTTGTGAGAGATCTCTTGCTTTTCTCTTTAGTTCTGTTATTCTGTGTCAGTGGGAGAAGTTTTCCCTTCTGATGTTTGCCTTCTATTCTTCCCTGATCTGGGTTCTGGATTTGTTCTAATTTGAAATAGGACTGTGGGTGGGAAGCTCTGCTGTCTCTTGTAATTTTTGAAAGTCAAATAAGGTAGAGGATGGGATGCTAAGATTCAGAAGCTACTTGCAAATTACAAAGTTTACTGATTGTGGTATGTGTTCCCTGAGACCCACTCCCCACCACTAGTCAACATGTCGATGCAAAGCAGAAACCAGTGCAAAAAACAATTGAACACACACATATACAGAGATATACACCCACACCCCAAAGCAAACCGGAAACAACAAAGTGAAACAAAACAAACAACAATAACAATAAAAACCAAGAAAACTGAACACATGTACACACATGCCTAGTACAAAGTGAATAGAGGAGAAAAACAGAAAGACCGGAGTGGGGGGAGAGAAGGAATTCAGATTGAACTTTCACACATATATTGACACACACCTTAAACTATAAAAAATAAAAGTAAAAAACCAGAAGGGCAAACACAAACCACTAACAATAACAAAATTGAAAGATGAACACTCAATCATTCACAAATACATTCAATCTTTCACATACAAAACAATAAACAAAAGCAGAAAGAAACAGAAAAGGAAAAGAAAAAAAGAAAAAATTGGGGGGGTGCAGAGCAAACCCTCGCATACACATTCATGCACAAAGGAAAAATATTTTAAAAACAGATGAACTAACAAAAAGGCAAAAAATTTTTAAAAATTAAAAATTAAAGAAAACTCTGCCCTCTTGTGGCAGGCTCTGTCATTGTTCCTCTAATTTGGTCTCCTCTGCAGAGCTTCCACTTCTTTCACTCTCGCTGGTGTCTGGAACAGGGAAGGAGGAGAGACAGTGGAGATGGGTGGGACTGCAGTCCTCTCCTCCTACTGTCATATGGTCAGGGAGATCTCCTCCAGTGGGAAGGTGCAGGATTGGTTCTTCCCAGGCATGTACTTGTGGGAGGTGCCCCAGCCAAGTCTATCCTGGAAGGGAGCTCTCCTACTGCGACTGGCATCCAGGCTCTGCCTGTGTTTGTCCCTCTCAGTCATGGCCCAGCTGTGTGGATCTGATGTTCAGAGGATTGCTGGGGAGGAAGGGGCTGGGGTCAGCTCTGGACTCACCACTGATCTCTTTGGAGTTCTTCCTTGTCCTTTTTTGGCCACACCCTTTGTCCTGCGACTGGATCAGGGTAGGGGGTGGAGTGCCTGGGACTCAGCACTCATCGGCTCTCTCCAAAGTTTGTGCTTTCAGGATGTTCTCTGTGGGTCATGATCAACCCCTGAGTAGTTGATCTGCCGGTCGCTGAGATCTGTTTGCTCCGTGGTGAGCAAGTTGGAGTACTTTCCTGCCCTGCCTTCAAAATGGTGGTGGGGTGTCTCTCTTTTCCTCTTTGGTGGGACTCTGCCTCTGGTCTCCCTCTGCAGACCCTGCTGCTAGTGCCCGGCCAGTCACTGAAGTGGTGAGGCAAGACTGGGAGCTGGCAGTCACTCCTGCTGCAGTGATGAGGCAGAGTTTAGGGTGGTAGTCTCTCCCAATATTTTTTTTTGAAAACTGGGCTCCAAACAAAGTTTACACATTGTATTTTGTCAATGTGGTACAAGTCTCAAAACTCAGTCTCTCTCTCTCTCTGAGTTGGGGGTCTCACTCTCTTACCCAGGCTGGGGGGCAGTGCAGTGACATGACCACAGCTCACTACAGCCTCAACCTCTTGGGCTCAGGTGATCCTTCCACCTCAACCTACAAGTAACTGGGACTACAAGCATGCACTTCCATACCTGGATAATTTTTTTTTTTCAGTTTTGCTACATTTTAATAGATGTTTTTGAAGGGATTTTTTTTTTTAGGTCTCATCAGCAACATCAAACTCCACAGGGTACAGAGTACTGCCAAGCACCTTAGAAAATTTACATGACACAAAGAAAATGCAGTTCTTGCCCCTTGAGGAGCTTACAGTCTGAGGGTTTGACAACTCATAGTCTTAAGAGTTGAGTGAACAACAAAGTAATTTATTAAGGCAAATCCTTCATCCCCTAGAGCTGTTGTGGACTGAATCATTTTAAAATTTTAAATTAATCCAATAAAGATGAGACAAGACGAAATTTTGTTGAGAATTTTTTCAGGCTCATATAGTTTTTATTAGTATCCAACTAGTAAACAGAATTGACCTAATAGACAACTGAAAGTAAAGACTAGATCTCTTGAAGTGCAAGGGCTAAAACAACTTAATTGCGGTTACTTATTTAAAAAGCAAACATATTGAATAGTATGACTAGGGTTATTACACTAGTTTAAAAATACACCAGATACTGACACTGCATTCCCTTCATGCATTGCTCATTTAAAATAGTGAATATTAAAATATGTGGGTTCTACATCTCAACCACAGAAAGCCCACCACAAATCAATGTTCTGTGTATCAAATATCCACCTCATATATATTATGAAAGTTTTATTTATGCCTCATTAAGTCAAAAGTAATGTCAATATTCAAATTATCATAAGCTAATGACCTGCATATTTTATATGGATGAATGTCAATATATCTAAATAAGAAATAAGTGGCAATCCTATCTACCTATATAAAAAAATAGAATATCTTTCCAAATTTTGCATACTTATCACTATAAGAAGAGGTATGCAGGTTTTAAGGTTTCATAATCAGTTGTCAGAAAAACAGCAGTTATGCCTGCAGTATGTCGTTAGCATCTGACTCAATTATTTTTAGATGACATGATTTAAAAGATACTGTAAACCCATCTAAAATTTTTTAATTATTTTGAGATGGCTCCAGTGTTAACCCAAGAATCATTATCAGAAAGAGTAACAATGTGATGTAGAAGAATAGCTAATCAACATGACTAAAAATAAGCTCATTTTCAGAAGAACAATCGGGTTATCTGGAAAAAAATTAGAGCTACAACCTGAGGAACATTCCCATATGGGATACCGATCTGGCCAAGGCACACTTTCTAAGCAGGAAAACTATCAGATCAGGGTGAACTGAAGCCACTTCTGAGGAGTAACCTATAAATATCCAGATAGACCTTCAGAGGCCCAACATAATTGGTTCAATTCCTCTCAAACAGTTGGATACTATCCTACCCACATCAACCCAAAACTTGAAGTTAACTCAAATCAAAAGAGCATATTAGAGCAAAAGTGAACAAATGTGTAAACTCTAGCACATTCTTATTACTGTATTAAGTTTGAAGATGAGCACATCCTACCCACAACAGTATTGTTCCAGGAAGCAGGGTAGGAGTAGTGGTAAATTACAAAACAGACTATTAATTGCACAATTAATAGAAAAGTAAAAACATATTTTGAAATCTACAATAAACCTGTATCCAAGGGGTCTTATACATCAGTGATGTGCTGGACTTTGAATTCTGTGGTACAGCTTTGCAGTGGACTCGCTCTGGCCTACTGGTATGGGTACAGCTTGCTTCCTGTCTGTTGAAGGGTGAATATGCTACACAGAGCTATGATGGTTTCTACCAAGTGGTAAAATTCACAGATGTTCCAGGTTAATCATGTCAGGATCATTCCTTGTGCAATGTTTGATGTAGATGAAGATAAAGTGGTTTCTTGGTCAATAATTGTAATTTCTTTCTTTTAAAGTCAGTGGGTTTCTTGTATAGTTCTATTACAATTGACCCATGTTTAATTCCATCCATTTCCATGAAAGCAAAACACTGGTGCTGGTAAATCTTTTTTTAGTCTTGTAGTGTTTGAATTCAAAGAAGATAGCTGCACCTTTGGTTAATTTTTCAACATGCTTCTGGAGTTCAATATCCACATTAAAATGAACATATGTATCTTCTTTTCTTGAAGCCACAGAAGTATCTTGCACAGGAGTTAAATCTATGCCATTCAGATCCTTTACACTAACTGTAATATAGGGATCGATGCACTGTCCAGCATCATTCAAACCTATTTTCTCAATTCTGATAGTGAGTAACGTCATTCCTGGTTCTGATGGCAATCTTGGTAATAAAGTGCCAGGTACTCTAGCAGGAAAAGAAACAGGAGACCCTGCTCCAGCACCACCCCCTTCTTCATCTTCTTCAAATTCTAAATTCTCTTTTTCACCAGGTGCTAAAATCCTTCTTAATGGGACAGGCTGAACATCAAAGGGGATTTCTTTATTATATGTAAGAATATTCTTTAGGATTGGTTCTAGCTTCTTCAGGTCCTCCAGTTTAAATTCTTCTTGGGGCTGTGTGGACCGTAAAGCTGCACTTCGCAATTCCAAGCATGTTGCAATTTTGCCTATGGTTTTCTTTTGTTCTTCTGTGAATTCAGAATTACTGTGTTGAGCTTGGGCCTCTTTTTGTAGATGTCTTGCTAATATCTGATACTCATCTATCGCCTCCACCAGCTGGCCCCAAGAATCGAAGTCGGCGCCTCTCCTAAAACTGGTGCCCCAGCGCTGTAGCAGACTCCAGGTCACCTCCAACGTGGCTGGTCGTCGCCCCGTCCCCTCCCGCCCCTGCCCCAGCGAGACGGGGCTCTAGGGCGCCAGGCTCCGGGGCCTGGCCTCGACATTAATAACGTTAATAGGGCCAGGAGGAACTGCTACGGCCACCACCGCCACCCGCCAAGGAGCCACCCAAGCCCATTTGCCCCCTGGATAATTAAAAAAAATTTTTTTTTTGAAAAACGAGATTTTTCTATGCTGCCCAGGTTGGTCTCAAACTCCTGGGCTCAAGCAATCCTCCAACTTCAGCCTCCCAAAGCGCTGGGATTACAGGCATGAGCCATCATGACCAACTACAATTCTCTTTTAATAGTATAATTGTTGTGAAGTCTATAATGATGCCAGTATCTAAAACGTCTGTGGATTTGTTTCTAGTATATATTGTTTCTGACTCTTTTCTTTCATGTAGTCTTGTTTTGTCCTAAGTGCCTGGCTATGTTTTATTGTGTGCTTGAGTTGTACTTGAAAAGTTATTGTGTATAGATAATTTAGTGTTTAGAAATATGTTTTCTTTTTCTAGAGGTAATTTGTTTTTGCTTCTGCCAGATGTTTGGGAGTACTAGTATTCTATATCACCTTATTCCAGTTGCAAGAACTGAAATTACTTGAAGCTGGTTTCATGTTGCTTTGGGAACCAGTTTCTTTCTTTCTCATCCTAGGTGTCACTGCTTTGGTGGGTTTTAGTATTTAAATATTCTCTAGCTCTTTGAGGTAATCAAAAACACTCTTCAGTCTCTTAGTGTCTCAGCCTCTCAGTTCTCTCTTTCAGAATCATCAAATATCTCCAGGAGAAAGTCAGACCAATCTCTATTGCACCAGATTTATCTCTCTAGAGTTCTGTCTTGTTTTAAATCTTGGCCATTTCTATGTTTATTTTTCAATTTAATTTAATTTTTACTGTTTTGCTAGCTCTTCTGTGGCTCAAAAACAATTTAAAAATACTATGTCCCCATTTTTAATTTTAATTAGGCCATCTTTAATTGAAGGGTTGGTTAAAAATACTCAATCTATCATTAGCACCAAAATTTAATTTATATTCTAATTTTGAGGTGTAATTTATATACATAAAATCCAGAAATCCTAAGTGTATAACTCTACAAATTTCTTCATATGTATATACATATATTATCATTTATTGTTCTTATTACTTCAAGTAAATTAAAACCTCACTTCTGAATCTTAATTCTAAGAAAGAAAGATAAGCTTCCATGAATTTGTCATCAATGAAATAAGATGCTGCTGCTTTCAATATTTTTTGCAGAACACTTTTTAATTTGTTTTTTTACTCATAGAACATTCTTTCAGAAGTGATATATTCTTTGACAATGCTTAGAGTAGTTTTTATCACTTCTATGATATCATTATATAATATATCTGAATTTAAAATATCCTAGTATAGTCCAAGATACCCCATTTCTGATTGGTAGTAGCCAGAAACTGCTGGTGGGGAAAGCATATGACATCAATAAGGATATCTGATCTCAAATCAGGTAAAGTGGGGACTAAAGGGAGGCCCAGACTTTACTTGTATGATGACCACTTGTATCCTGAATTATACCCCACATCTTTAAAAAATTGCCATTTTATTTTATTTTATTATTTTATTTTGAGTCTCACTCCATTTCCCAGGCGGGAGTGCAGTGGCATGCTCACGGCCATCCCAGTGTTGACCCACTGGCCTCCGGTGATCCTTCTACCTCAGCCTTCCAAGTAGCCAGAACTACAGGCATGCTACCATGCTTGGCTAATTTTTTTTTTTAATTATTTATTGTAGAGATGAGGTCTCATCAAGGTGCCCGGGCTGGTCTCAAACCCACGGGCCCAGGCAATCCCCTCGCCTCAGCCTCTCAAAGTGCTGGGATTACAGGTTGAGCCACCAAACCCAGCCTACCCCATTTCTAATGGCGTGTTTCACCCTTCACTGAAATATGTTTAAGATAGGGAAAAACAATAAGCCATTGGGTGGTAATGAGAGCATTGGTTTATGGTACCTTGACTAAAGATTTTGCATGGTTCTTTTGTCTGACACCAAGGAGCAATGCACCAAACTATGATTCAAGACAGTGAAAGAGACTCTTTTTTTTTTTTTTTTGTAAAATAAGAGAAGGAGAATTGTGAATGGGGAAGTGGAAAAATAAAACTAGCTATTAAGAAAGAGTAAATATGGAAATTAAGTTCTGGAAACAGGTTCCCTTGGATCTATTTTGCCTGAAAATCTTTGGAAATTTTTCATATATCCAAGGATACACATACCCTAATAAAACCATTGTTTTAAACCACTTTGTATACTATCAACTGAACATGATTCCTAAATCACAAACTAACAATCTCCATTTTATAGCACTGCTGTGTAGGTTTAACAAGAGAATGTGCTTCTTAGTAATTATTACTTGACGTGTAACAAGGATGCGATGATAAGCTATTTATTATTAGTGATGACCATCACCAACTGCTTGAATATACATTCATTCAAATACTTATTACATAAAAGCCAATATCAAGATGTTTCGTGGTATACTCTTATGACTTTTATTACTGATGAGGTGTTCAGGAGAAAACTCCTAGTATGGTACAAAGAGCCTGAGGTAGTAAAACCTGGATGCTTGCTTAAGCCTTGGGAGGTGTGACATCTTGGGTCCTGGTTTCATCATCATTTGCCTGAATTTTTTACTGGGTTGGTCATGAACTTAACGTGAAAGTGAATGTGAAATCTGAAATGTTGCAGAGTGTGTGAGAAACCCTTAAGATGCCATCTCAACCCCAATGGGCAAAGATTTCTCTTCACATACTGGTCTCAGCCTCTTTTCTGCTTCTAGACTGTTTATGTAAGAACACTCTCCCACAAGTAACCACTCTCATTAGACACTAATTCTCACCTGGGGAAAGACACACAGCAGAAAGGGGCGGAGGTGGGGAAGGAGCCGGGGCCATTAGTTTGAAAAATCCTTTTGTAGAATCAACAACCCACTCTCTCGGAGAGATGTTTCTTCGTCAGTCTCCCATGGAATTACTGCTTGACCCAGCATTTCCCAAAGTATGAACTGAGGGACACAGATGGCATGAAAGGTGATTCTAGATGGAAAACAGGAAGGACAATGAAGATGAGTGTATCATAAGGTGAGACACTTGTTGCCCTTTCAATTCTCAACACTGTTGACTGTTAAGAAGAAAGTCTTGTTTGGTGTGTATAGGTTTTCAATACATCTCTAACCTTTGTTTATCCCTATTTTTTTCAAGTGAGAAAGCAGGATTTATTGAGAGGACAGAGAAGTTCCCACAGTGGGAGGGGAATGGAAGGGGTTGCCTGTCTAGGGCCAAAAACCTGGTGCTTATATAGCCCTAATTCCAAGCCAATTGGCTAGCACTAGCTGTGAGTTGTAGCTGTTTTGATTGGTCAGTATTAAGGACCAATTGGCAGGAGGTAAGGGCCTAATGGTGAGCTGACTGGTTGCTTTTCGATTCCTGCAGTAAGTACTTAAACTCTAGCTTGAGAGGTTATCATGGGAGCTTGTTTACCAACACTGAGTCTGAGAGGCCTGGAAGTTTGCTACATTGTTACCATAGGACCCTCCTGTCTATCTGCCTAGACTTTTTCTAGCTATCTCCTGTCTCATTCCCCCCTCTGGAGTAGTAACCCTAACTGCTGTTAGGCAGTAAGGATGATGACTGGTCTGGCTACTTCCTGCTAATCCTGGGCGTTGTGTGGGAACGGCAGCTAGGGATTCTCCGGCAGGAAGCTTGCATACAAGGTTCTATCTGCATCACCATTTGGAGTTTGATGGTCTCTAGGTGAGAAGAAACAAACTTTACAAGGAGGTTAACTATACATGGACCAAACACAAGCAATACAACAAAAGGAACTATTAAGGGAAGAACCCATGTTCATAGATTGAAAATCCCTAGAGGATAAAAAAAGATTGTAACTGATGGGTCCTGAAACTGCCTGTTCTTGTAAAGAGTCAATGATTTTATTATTATTTATAACTTGTAAAGTCTTTTTTACTTGGGAGGGAGTGTTAATATAGAAACAACCAGTTTCATTTAATAATACACATGCTCCTCCACATCCCAATGTGAGCATATCCAATGTTTGAATAATTATCCTGTTGAGCCGTGTACTAATGGAAGATGAGAGAGGGTGCTTATAAGAAGCTAGGACTCATGAACTAAAAACAGAAAGCAAGACAGAGTAGGCATTTTGCTTGTTCCTGTGAAGGAGACTTCTAGGGAAGAAAACAATTCCATGGACGCTCAAGATTAAGGGGTCCTAGACAGAGACATCTAACGGTACACATCAAGGTGAAAACAAAGGCAGCACGTATAGGTAAACTATAAGGAGGAAATTCATAGGCAGTTAATTAGTGGCACTTATCTTTTATGAACTTTAGTTTGATTCTGTATGCTCTGCCAGGTCAGCTGAGGCAACGTCTTCTAGACTTTGGGCTTTCACTTTTGTGTGATGGATCCACAAGTCTATTCATTCCGTATACACCTTCCGTCGAGCCCCACGTTCGGGCACCAAAACTGATGCAGATTTTTCAGGTTAGCCTGGGCTTTGAGAGTGTCAGTTCAATGGGTCAGTCAGCCAAGCCCCAGAGAAGGTTGTTGAGGGACTGGTAAGCCTAGCCCTGGAAGTTTCAACTCTAATGGGCTGGCAAGCCAAGTCCTGAGAGTGTTGCGATTCGGTGGGTTGGCAAGCCTAGCCCCCAGAGTGTTGGCTCTAACGGGCTGGCAAGCCAAGCCCTGAGAGTGTTGTTGGTTCGGTGAACTGGAAAAGCTAGCCCCCTAGGTGTCTCGGCTTTGGAGTCTCGTCTTCTTCTGGCAGCTCTCATGGTTCAGCCGGCTCCATCGGCTGGCAAGCCAGCCTCTGGGGTGCACAGCTCTTCAGCTCTGGTGATCTTCTGCAGCTCTTTAGGTCACAGCTCTTCAGGGTTGAGGTTCTTATCTCATGCCCAGGAAGAATGAGGGACACGGACAGCCGGAAAGTGAAAAAGCAGGATTTATTAAGAGAACAGAGAAACTCCCACAGGGGGAGAGGACCCGAAGGGGTTACCCCCATCCCTATTTTTAATAAAGTGAGAACTGGTCTTTAAGCAGGCAGTCTTCAGTTAAACTTGAATACATTGTCTAGTTTGTATTTTTTCAGTTATTTCCTACTGACAGCAAGGGATATGCCATAAGTAGTAGCTAATACCAAGTTTTAAGCAGTGTTGTGAATACTTTCTTATGAGAGAGGTGCTTGTACCCCCATTTTATGCACGTGAAAACTGAGATTCAGAGAATTTTAGCAAACAGCATAGAGTCACAGTTGGAAAAGGGCTGAGCTTACATTCAGCTTAGTTATATTCTTAGCAACGACTTCATATTGCCTCGTTTAGGATGAAGATACTAAGTTTCCTTTGAAAATTACTTAATTGAAAGTAAGACAGTTTAAAGAGAATTCTTAAGTAAAGAATTAAAATTAGAGATGCTATGTGGACAGGGCAAAAAATAAGACAGAGGCCCTCAGAAGACTTAAGTTTAGGAAACAGCTTAGCCCAGGCTCCACTGTCCTGCTCCAAGGGCTCTGACCTGGTCTAACTGATGACAGGTAATCAGTGCAAAGCTGACTTGGCTGAAGGAAGAAAACAGGGGCCCATTTGATTTCCATTTAAGTCACTCTAGGACAGCCCCTCCTTGATTTGGGCTAGTTGATATCCTTTTATCCCTTTTGTATCTTTCACCATGCAATTGTATAACCGATTCGAATATGATGTGATAATATACTATCATATAAATCAGGACTTTAAAAAAGTAAACCTAGAATAGTGGGTAGAAGCTATTATAAGGATTAATGAGTTGGTACACATGAGACCTTGTACTATGTGAGTGCACTTGTAAGTACATTTGGGGCAAGGGTGGTTAAATGAGGATTAGAAGGTGCTCAGAGCTGTGGAGAAGGGGCCCCCTGACAATCCCAGAAGGGGCAGCTCCCCAGTGAGTTCCTGTCCATGGAAACTCAACAAGGACCCGCCAGATGTGTCTCAGGACTTGCTGCATTTCCAGAGGCTGCACAGATCTGCCAGAGCCGGCTGAGAAATACAGAAACATTCTGCCTTGGTGCCTGTAGGAGCTGTGTCAGATCCAGGCCTACCATGCATCATCAGCCACAGGATTCCACTTCCACAGGAGCAGAACATTCCCGGATGTTTGGGTTCCAGAAAAAACATGCGTCAGTCACCTGCCCTTGGTTGAGGGCTGCACACAGCTGGCTGACAAATGGGGGAGGAGGTGTTTCCAGAGACAGTCACCATCAGGCAGAAGTGAGCTTTTTAAAGCCAGAGAAGATGGTTTAGTCTATAGTTATTTTGTTGGGAGCGAATGTGATGTGGGGAACAGAAGAACACTGTCACTAACAGACTTTGAGTAAGGGCCCCAAGTGAAGACAAGGTATTGCTTAATGGCCCCAAGCTTGTAGGCAAGGTCTCACTTGAAAGCTCTGTAGCCAAAGGCAGGCTGTACGGGATACAGCCTACTACACAAAACAGTGTCTCAGATGCCCACACATCCGGGTACACATAGTGCAGATAAAGCCTTAGCTACAACAACATAACCCCCAAACAGCTTGTTAGGTAACAACAAAATTCCATTATGACTCCCTCACAGACCTTGAATCCCTTCCAACTTCCTTTGTGCTTGATTATAAAATAAACGTGCTGAGCTAGTTTGGGGTCACTTCTCCTTCATCAGAGGAAAGTGTCCCATTTGGTCCCAGCTTTTCTTTATGTCTTTGTGTCTGTGTCTTTCTTAATCTCTCATCACTCTCTCAGGACCCTCAAGACAGCCACACAGGCCACGGTATTATTTCTTAAATATTTGTTTATTCATTTTAAAATTTTATTTTATTTATTTTGGGAGGCATACATGTAATAATTTAGTACATTCATATAATTTGTAAAGATCAAATCAGTGTCCTTGGGATATCCATCACCTTAAATATTTGTCTCATTATGCTGGAAACATTAAAATTATTCTTTTCTAGCTATTTTGGAATGTACAATAGATAACTATAGACTGGAGTCACTCTACTGATCTGTTGAACACTGGCTTTTATTTCTTCCATGCTTCTTAGGCAGTCAGCCTAAGACTAAGAGAACAGGATTGGGCGGGAGCCCAGGCTGCTCAGTGAGGTCAGGTGCTTGGAGCTCAGTAGCTGGGACTCACATTTCTCTGTCGAGCTTGCACCTTCTGCAGAGCCCTTCTGTTTTAGGGCACTCACAGGCATGTCGGTGGTTCAAGGACAATGATTATATAGAATGAACATGCACACATCATTTACCAGCTGTCTCACCCTGGAAAATTATCGTTTCTTGGAGTTGCTGCATCCTCACCTGTATAATACAGATTGTAATTAGTACCTACCTCACAGAGTTGTTGTACGAATCAAATTAGCTAAGGCAGGGCAGGTATCTGACACATCGCAGGTGATCAATCAATGATAGCACTGCTTATTGTTACCTCTGCTGTGCTGGGCAGGCTGGGATTCTAGAGTTTATTTGACAAAGAGACGGCTGCAGGGCGGTGAAACAGCTACCCCAGGACACACAGATGCTAAAGGACAGAACCCTATTTTCAAGCCCCTGTGGCCTTTACCCTAGGTGATCTGTCCTGGGCATGGTGTGATATCCAGCCTAGGGGACCTCTGAACTGGCCGCAAAATGGAACGATGAAGGTCAGAACTTAGAGGTCAGCCTGAGGTTTCTGTAGGCTCAAATAAACAAGAATGTGGTTTAACTACAAGAAAGGGATTGGTAGCACTGGGACACAGCCATGTGTGTTTGTGTGTGTGTGTGGGGGGGCACATAACATCACCAGGAGTACCTGATCCTAAATCAAGTGAAGTGAGGACCAATGGAAGGCCCAAACTTCACCTGTGTATAAACCACTTATGTACCTAATCCCGACTGTACCCCAAATCTTTAAAATAAAATATATTTTTTTAAAAAACCACAAACAAAAAGAATTCAGTTTATTGATTATGTCACTGCCATGAACAACAAAAATATATGGTTAAAGTCTTCAGTCTGGTGGGCAGAGGATTAATAAACTAAATGAAGAAGAGCTTTATATATGCCTTTGTGGTTAAAACAAATCATATGGGTTCAAAATGAGATGTTCCACTTGTTGTGCAGTGCCTCGAAAAATGCCTTTGGAGTTCCACGTATGTGTTAGATTTACAGACTCAGGAAAGGGTCTTTTATAGTGTGAGACTTACACTGACATTTCAACATGAGGCTCTGCCCAAGTTCAAATCCTATCTACACCATTTTTGAGCTGGGTGGCCTCCTGGCATGTCTCAGTTTCCTCATGTGCAAGATGGTGATGAGAGTGGTACCTATTTCACAGTGTATCAATCAGTGAAGGTGAGGCTTCATGGCATCTGTGCTGTATAAGGCACTTAGCACAGGGCCTGGCAAACGAGAAGAGCTCCGTCATGCTAGCTGTTACCATAAGGAAGACACAACATCTACTTAAACTTCCAAAGCATTGCCTTCGGCAGCCAAAATAGGAACAAATTGTGTTTTTCAACTGTGGACTTGAGTGCTGGCTCAGTTTGGACCCTGGTGTCTGACTTCCGGATGTCTCTTACTTCCTGAAGCCAACCTCTGCATCCTGTGTGTCTCTGTACCCACCCCCACCCATCCCACTCCCATCCTGCTCCAGACTCCATACTCAGCACAATGAGGTTCTTCATCATGGTCTGCTCACCAGCATTGAATGCACCATTCATCAACTAGAGGAAGGTATTCTAGAAAGGATGGCATAGTAGCAATGCCTGGGGAAGGGGCCAAGGAAAATAAAGCCAGTGGGACTCTGGACAGACACCTGACTGTGACTCCAGTCATGCCCATCCTGATTAAAGGTGGTGCTTTCCAAGAAACTTTTTGGTCATGTAATAATTGATGGGATGCTGACAACTCAGTGAGCTTTAATACAGCTAACCCTGGGTGGGTTATTAAGCCCCTCTCTGGCTCAATTCTTCATCTCAAAAAATGGGAAGAAAAAGGTGCCTGCCATTTTAGAGTTGTATAGAGGTCAAATCAGCTCATAAGTGTAATGATGTGGAAATGTAAAGACTCCCCATTCCTGCCCACAGACGCATACCTGGACACACACATGCACACTGCACACCTGCACACAGAATTTTGTTTTTTCCATCTGTCAACCTAACTGGCTGGTGGGAAGACAGAAGGGCTCAGAAATTCTTTTTCTTCACATTAATTTGAATCTGTACAGCTAGTCTCTTGGCTGCAGCCTCTAAAGAGAAGAGGCCAATGTGGGGCTTGCTAGGCAGTGGGAGATGGATGGTGAAAGATGGTGGTGATGGCCCCAGTGATTCATCTCCCACTTAGCTCAGGAAGGAGACCTTTTATATGTGAGAGATTCATGAGCAAAAGGCAATCCCTCTTTGAGGACAAACACCTCATAGTCGAGTGCAGAATGGAGGGGAGGTGTTTGTGCTGGTCGAGGAAGAGTGTGTTGACCTTTCTCTCCTCCCCATCAATGTGGAGTCTGGACCACTCTAGCTCAGCTCAGCTCATCAGGACTCTGCCCTCCTCTGGGCTTCTTAACTGGCCACTGGCCTCAACTCTAGTTCTTGCTTTGTCATTTACAGTGCTCACAGATAAGTAAATAATAGTGATAATAATAATAATATTGAAGGCTTGATTCTTTTTTCAATATCAACTCTTTTTTTTGACTTGGAGTCTCACTCTGTTACCCAGGCTGGAGTGCAGTGGCACAAACACAGCTCACTGAAACCTTGACCTCCTGGGATCAAGTGATCCCTCTGCCTCAGTCTCCCAAGTAACTGGAACTACAGGCATGCATCACTATACCCGGTTAATTTCCTTCTCCTTTTTTTTTTTTTTTTTGGTAGAGATGAGATCTCACTATGTTGCCCAGGCTGATCTTGAACTGCTGGGCTCAAGTGATCCTTCCACTTCATCCTCCCAAAGTGTTAGGATTACAGGCATGAGGCACTGTGTCCAACAGACGTTTTTTGTTCTCTTGACATCCCACAATGCAAGTCTCATTATTATTGAGATAGAGTCTCACTGTTGCCTGGGCTGAGTGTGGTGAGGTGATCATGGTTCACTATAGCCTCAACTTCCTGAGCTCAAGGAATTCTCCTACCTTAGCCTGCAAAATAGTTGAGATTACAGGTGTGCACCACCACACAAAGCTAATCAAACAATTTTTTATAAAGATGGATTCTTGCTATGTTGCCCAGGCTGGTCTCAACTCCTGGCCTGAAGTGATCCTCCTGCCTCAGCCTCTCAAAGGTGTTATTGTTCCAATTTACAAGTTGTTAGACTGAGGTACAGGGGGGTAAAATGCACCATATTATAAAGTCATATGCCTGGTAAATAAAAATTCAAGCCCTGAAAGTCTGACTCCAGAGTCTAAATTTTTACCCTTATTCCTTACTTGCTGCCCACCTTTGGATAGAAAGGAGAGGGAAAAGGGAGGGAGGGAAGGAGGGAGGAAGGAAGGAAGGAGGAGAGGAAGCAAAGAAAGAAGGAAGAAAGAAAGGGAAGGAAGGAAGGAAGGAGGAAGGAAGGAAGGAAGAGAGGAAGGGAAGGAAGGAGGGAGGGACAGAGGAAGAAGAAGGGAAAGGGAAAGGAAAAGAGGATATCTTCCAGATTGTGACGATGAAGTGAGAGACTGTGTGTGTATTTGTGCGAGTATGTGTGTGTGTATGTGTGTGTGTGTGTATGTGTGTGTGAAAGTGCTTTATAAAGTGTAAAGTGTGAAAAAGGACTTAAGTCATTGTTAGACCAAAGTTATCCCCTTCCAGAAAGGGAAGTGTGCTGTCTCTGTGCTGGGAGTATTTCTGACATCTGCTGAGATGCTTGGGCTTTTTCATCCTTTAGTATGTTCTACTTACCCAAGTTCTAGGGCCTCTTTTTTTGTCTCTAGGATGCGAGGGGAGCAAGCTCACACTTTAGAATCGAGAAATTTGGAGATTTCTACTCTTGGCCATCTTGTTGCTCTGTGTGACCTGAGGTAAGTTCCTTAACCACTGGGTACTCAAGAGTCCTCCTTTGGATTTACTGAGATACACTAGAGTCCTGCACAATCCATAGGGTTGGGATAATCTGGGATAATCTGTAATATTGACATAGACCGGGGGCCTCAAAACTGAAGTCCAGCCCAAGAGGCTTTTCTGGCTTTGCACAGGAAAGAATTCAAGAGTGAAACAACAAAGTAAAGCAAAAGTAAGTTGATTAAAAGAAAAGCAGTCCAGAAAGAAGGCTACCATGTAGGCAAAGCAGTCCTTGTACATTGCTATCTAGGGTTTTAGTTGGAAAATGAAAGCAAGATTATCGAAATGACAGAGAGCAGGCTGCTCTATAGAAAGAACAACAACCATATATTATGGGGGGTTATTTTTATAGTTATGTCTTGATTGTATGCTAAGCAAGGAGTGAGTATTCATGGATTTTCTGAAAAAAGGTGGGGCTTTCTAAGAACTGGGGTTCTTAGAAATGGGCAGAGTCAAAAGTGTCATGGTGCTGGAGGGCGTGTTAGTAGCATGCTAGTGTGCTATAATGAGCATATAATGAGGGCCAAATTAGTTGCCATCTTGGTTCTAGCTGGCTTTAATCGATTCTCAACCTCAACCTGTTCTTCCCTGTGGGAGCTCAGAAAACCAGGCCATCCAACTGTCTAGAAAAAAATTGTCTTAGCTACCAGGTTTGAAAAGTTAGCCTTAGCCGGGCTCGGTGGCTCAGCCTGTAATCCCGCACCTTTGGGATGCTGAGGTGAGTGGATTGCCTGAGCCCGCAGGTTTGAGACCCGCCTGGGCAGCGAGACCTCATCTCTACAATAAATTAAAAAAATCAGCCGGGCGTGGTAGCGCATGCCTGTAATTCCGGCTACTCGGAAGGCTGAGGCGGAAGGATCGCCGGAGACCAGCATGTCGAGGCAGCGGTAGCCGGGAGCGGCCACTGCACTCCAGTCTGGGCGACAGGGTGAGACTCCAACTCAAAAAAAAAAAAAAAGAAAAAAGAAAAAGTTAGCCTTGTTTATCCTAGGAAACTAGTTCTGCCGAATTCTTATCTCAATAATACCAAATTCCATTGCCAGATTGGCCACAGTGGCTAGTGGTGACTTATCACTGCAGAATATTCTATTGGACCACAGTGTTCTAGAGTTTAATATTTGTTTACAGTTTTTTTTTCTTTGTGGTAAAACTTACATAAAATGCAACACACAAAT